ATTAAAAGCTTGTGATGTTAATTAAGGCCTTTAAACTCATATTACCAACCGTATAAAAACCATGTAATTTGAGTTATTTCATTTTTTGTATAACCATTTGATTGGATATTTGATTAACCGACACATAATTAAATTGTCATTCGTAATTGAATTTAATCATTAAGCAATTAGTAAATGAAAATTGTGAAATCCAAATCAAATCCACGCCCCCGACCCAACGGCTCATTTACCAGCCATAACACATAACAAATTATGGTTTGCGTTTTCATAATCAGCATTCTTCATTTCCTTTGGCGAGGTGTGCCTGGCCCATGGGCAAAGGGAATTTTAACTAAATTATGTTGGCCCTTTGTTTAGTTTAGGCTGATGCCCTCTGGACACGTCACGAACGGGTTGGTTTCGGCTATGTTTCCGATTTAAATGGGACTTTGGGTTGGGCCCTGCCCCGGGGGTCTTTCCTTGGGGTTGTGACAAAAACTCGGCGGAAAAACAAATGTTTCTCAAAGTCCAACTTCATTTCCAGAACTCCCATAAGAACCGGGCATCGTAAACCATAACTAGCATTTTTGGTTTCATTAGAAGCGCTTTTCCTAGTTCTTTATCGTTTTCCCTCCCTTTTCCTACCCCTTTTTCTTGCCGATTGCACTTTTTGCCAGACATTTTTCCAGTCGGGGTCCGGTATTAGTTTTTTCCAAGGCATTAGTTTAGTGCTGGGCGTGTGCGGGTTTTTGATTTATGGTTTCGAATTGTGCGAGTTGCGTTTTTTATGTTAATTAAATTGCTTTGCCTCGGATTGGATGGGGTTGTGCTGCTGGTTTCTGGTCTGGCTCTGGCTCTGGCTGCAGAAGTGCATGTTCGCCGATGCCTGACTAAGTGCACTTGGCCAGTCAGCCATTTCAATTCTGGCCGAAAGCAAACCGACCCACGAACCGCTCTTTGACCCGCCTGAGCAAATGAACTGCAGCACGCTTATTGTCACTAAATGCTGTTGACCCAGCAGGAAGGCTTGGCTGTTGGCTCCCGTTCTGGTCCTTCTGATTCCCAATTCGAGTCGACGAGCTGTGGCAGTTATTAGAAATTCCATTATGCATGTGTATGGGCCGCCCATGTGGGCTGTGTCAACACTGACGGTCGGGATTCAGGACCCCAGACAGGTGGCTCGTCATCGGTGATACACTGGTAAATAGATCAGTTTCAAAAATGTGGTAGACTTGGGACAGTAATTATTGAAACAAAATGTATAACACCGTTTTTATTATTATTAATTTTGGCCCAAATACCATTTTAATTCTTAATTTTAATGATTACAATTGTTTTTACTGTACAAATTATGTTATTTTCTGTCTATAACATAATTATAAAATACAAGACGAAGCAGGTTTGAAAATGATTTACTATCGTAGTTTTTATAAAACAAGAAGTAAAAGTGCTTATTTTTAAAAGAGACAACTCTAAAACTTACAACCGTATTTTAAGAATAACCCTTTATCGCGGAACCAAGATTATTTCCAGTGCATTTATCGTAAGTCACCCACTCCTTTCCGAAAGGTTGCTATTTCTGGTGAATGATAAATCTTTCAATGAGCTGGCAGTCAAGCAATGAGGATGCTGATGGGAAACCGAAACAGAAACAGAAACAGGAGCGGCCTGGTAAACATGCCAGGGAGCAAAGCTGGGTCCCAACAATCTCCATTTTGAATGGAAAGCTGCAACAAAAGCCCATTAAATACCGAGACAATGCCACCCACACGTACACATGAATGCACATAGATATAATATGCCAGCTGGCCCGATATTTGTTTGTTTTTGGCCTCCCTTCATAAGGAAAGGGACTCGGCAAATTATTATGCTGTGATATTCATATCGACCCACTCCATTTCGGCAGCTTGTTTGCATTGGGTGCCTGCCACGTTTTCAGGATTTCAGGAATCCGTTAGCGAACACAGTATTTAGCCAGCAATTTCAAACTCAAAACAAATTGAACTCAGTTTAGGACAGGTCCTCAAAAGTAATCGATCAGTTTGAAACTAAAATTTTGGTTCCTTTTCTCGGATATCCTGTGCAGCACAGAAAGAAAAATCTATGTTGATAACATATATTTAAGGACTAAAAATACACATAGCAACAAAATACGAGTATGTAAAAATAACAAAAGTACTTTAAAATTATTAGACATGGATCTAAAATAAATGTTTGTAGTAAACATTTTGGAAAAAATAATAATCAAAATGAAATGATTTACCTTGAATGAAATATTTTCATCAAAATGAAATTCTTTTTATTTCTGTCGAATAAAAATTTGTAAACTTTTCCAAGCAACCTGTGGTTAGGGTGAAAATTCAGCAACTCCCTGGGACGAGCAGCAAAAAATTGCATCTAACTTTTCAATTTGGTATCACTTGCGGCTTCATCGAATGACGCACTCCGGCCAGATTGGAAAACAATAAAAAAGCGTACAAAAGTGCTGTGAAAAGAGCGTGAAAAGTGGGGCCGAAGGGTGGAAGGCCAGTTTTCCCGGCGCCCAGGGAGCAGGACGATAAGAATGGAAACAAACAAGAGCGGGGACCAGGTGCATTGATATTTAGCAGCCAGGGAAATTCCCACTCCAGAAAGGTGGGTCTTGTTTTTGGCTCTTCACTTTGGTCGCCATGTAAACAAATCGCAAAAGGATAAGGACAAGGCACTTGTAAGCTGGCACTTAGCAGAATCGAACAAATATGTGACTTTTGCACAAACTTTTTACCTTCCCAACTATATCTCGAGTGTGCGTGTGGATTTATAGACATTGTTTGGCTGCTCTCTGTTGCTTTTTGCCCAGCAAGTTGTGCACCCGGCTGTGTGCTATGATTTCTGGCTGCACCTTCCACCTAAACACTAACAAGCAAAGTTTTCCCAGCAATAAGCAAGTATTTGCGGTTGCATTTCGCCGCTCCTGCTCCTGCTTCTGCGTTTGCTTTTGCTCCGGATCCTGCTGCTGGGAAAACTCTCAGCGGGCGGGATCCGGCAACTACACTCTCCAATTTTCAATTGGCAAACAAGCGGAATTTTCGATTTCAGTGTGCAAATATTTATGTGGATAGCAAGGACTTTAAGGTACTGCTTAATTTAAGGCAGGTGTTCTACTACCTGGCAGTTGCAGATATTAAGGGTATATAATGTTCGTTGAGGTTTTAAGCTCTACACGAATTTTAAGGTATACCGTCTATTTCTGAACTTAAAATACTTTTTGTTATAAGGAAAATGTATTGTACCATATGACTTGCATAAATTCAGGATATAAGGACAAACAAACGAGAGGCAAAAACTTAAGTTAAAACAATTAATAAAGGTAGCATTGGGTAGCTTGAGGTCCTTACAGTTGGTTATGGTATCCAACCTTCCTTTTTTGTAATTCCCTGCTCTGGCCAGGACACAGAGGCAGTTGGCCAATTATGCTGGCAGGCCCCGCTGGTCATTAAGGTCAATGTGCAAGAATTCATTTTACAGCCTGCAAATGGAGTAAATGTTAAAGGGCAGCTCGACGGTGGCATTGGCATAATGAAAATCATGCTGATTTCCTCTGAAATTTTCCATGCAGTCGCAGAAGATATCGCCCGATATGCAAACAACTCCCGAAGGTAATGAATTACGCACAGCTGGCATGTAGAAAAAGAATAACAACAATTTTATTTTATTCGCCTCGCGAGAGATTTCCCAGGGACCGAATCCTTGCCTCGCATTCCACGGACTTTTTCTCGGCTTTTCCCTCCCATTTCCTCCGCCCCACAAAGGGAATTTTGGGAAAGCCGCAAATTATGTGCCATTATTCTTAAGGGCACAGCCGCATGAAATGTGACCCAAATAAGATATAAAAAATTTTTGAGTGCCTTGTTAGGCTATGTTGGAAATGCTGGCAAACGCTTGTAAAACACCAGTTCCAGAGAGGAACAGAGCCATTGGACAGGCCGTGAGTGGGAGCGAGAGGGATGAGCTGCCTTGGCGCCTTGAATTATGCTACGCATTTGTTGACAAACGACTCTGAAATGGGCGGTCATAAAGTTGCCGGAAATTGGCGTTGATTGTTTGGTATTTAATAAAAGTTGGCGAGCAAACAAGAAAATTGTCTAAGTAAGTGAAGGTCGCAGAAAGTTTTGACCTAGGATCCATAAATCAGGGAAAGCGTTTGTATTCAATGTATTAAGGCCTGCCAAAAAAGATTTATAAAACACCATTTTAGTTTTGCCCATCGACTGGCATTTATGTTTTAATGGGCTTACCATTGAAATTTAGTTATTTACAGTCTTAGTGTGGGCTTACAAATGGCCAGCCGTTTTTATTATAACATTTTCAATTTAGTAATATTTGTTTGCAGAACTGCCGCATTGAAACCCCAGTATAATCTATCAAGCTTTCGATGGCTGAAAAAACATTTATAAATCATTTAAGCGCCAAAAATGACAATCAGTTGACGAGCAACATGAACAAAAACCAGGTTGTACAGTCCTGTTCGGCAGATAGACATTTTCTATACCCTTGAATGTTTTTTGATTTCTCTTATTAAGGCTTAAAGTGTTTAAAAAAAATCGTATTTATAAATATAATTCCAATTCAATTAATTAAGTTATTTAGTTTTATTATAACTGATTTACAAATATTGCCTAGAGTTTAGGTAACAATTTTGTAGTCCAGTCGACTCTTTATGAATTTCGATGATCGAATAAAATTGAACAGCTAAATTTAGCCTCCTGCATATTTGCATGGCATTTTAAGTATTTTGGCCGCGGGTAAATACAAAACAGTGAAAACCAATGCCAAAAACAAACGCCTGCGACTGAACTGCAAGCAATTGCGGTGCAGTTAAGCGCCGGATTATGTTTTATCAGTGTCGCCAACGAGTTCGCTTTCGGACAATATTTCAATAATTTATTAAAATAAATGCACTAAATTGGAATCCCCTGGCTTTGCAGTCGCACGTTATTCCATCAGCGTTTTTTCACCTCCTTCCCTTTTCTCATTTGCAGAGCTCGTCGAGTGCGCGCTGCGCAATGTCAATTTAATAATCGAACCCCCCGCGGTGAAAAGGGGACAGCATGTGGTGCTGAGGTGCATGTACGACCTGGACGGAGCTCCACTGTACTCGGCCAAGTTCTACCGTGGTCAGCTCGAATTTTACCGCTATACGCCCGGCGAGTTCCCCAATACGAAAGTGTTTCCATTTCCCGGCATTCATGTGGATGTAAGTTATTAATTAAAAATATATTTTCAAAGAGGTGTAGTATTCTCTCACAAATAATGCGTTACTGTAGTTTTAATAGATTTTATGGATTTATTGTAGGCAAAATAGTTTTCACATAAGCTGGCTTTGTTGGGCTTATTACAGAATTAAATAAGGGCAGATTCATTCGATATTACTATTTAATATGGTTTTATATATATAACAACTTTAAAGCTGTAACTTACTATATTAATTATATATAATTAATTATTACGATCATAATTTTTAGTGGAAACAGATTAGAAAAGGATTACTTAAATGTATATAGTATTTTGTGGCCTATTACGACATCTTAAAACTGTTTGGCTAGGGTGGAACAAATTTATAAAAATACCCATATATTCATGTTCAAATTGAACAACTCTATCTGCTTTGGTATACAAATTATAAAAGGAAAACTAAATCGGGCAGTGGCAGTGGCAGAACTCGACTTATTCCGCATTAAATCATTTCGGGCCTGCAGGCTGCACTTTTTGCTGGTCATTGGACCAGCAGTCAGTCGATGGCAGGCTGAGCCAACAACCGGACCGAACCGAAGCGAAACGAAGCTCCACTTTGATGTCCTTAATTGCGCGCACACTGCATTTATTTATATTGTATATTTTAAACTTTCCGCTCATGCATATTCAGTTTGGCAGTTTTATTGTTATTGGCGGTTATTCAAAAAATGCCCGGGGACACCTGGCCGCTTGGGTGCCAGGATGCCGGAATGCCAGCTTTTGTGGGCGCTATCAACGCGAGGCTATCTGCGGCAAAAATTTCATTTAAATTTTTGCATGCTGCGTCTGAGTTTTGTCGCCCACCTGCAAAAACTGCAATTTGCCGAGCGAAAAGGGGCGTGGCCAGGAGACTGAGGTCGGAGAATTGAGTCTCGACTGGGGTAATTCTACTTTGGCTAGATTATTGAAAAAGTTTATCCAGCCGGCGGTGATGTGGGTGGCAGGCAGGTCCTTGCAATTTCGTTGCTTCGATAAAGTTGCTCCGAATCTGGCTAAATATTTCATCAGGCTATTGAGTTTGTGCCAGCGAGTTTATCTTTAGTTTTTGTACTCTCCTTTTTATTTTATTTGGCTCTTTATTTTTGTTGTTTTGTCGTCGAAAACTTTTTCTTTACCTAGCCAAAGGCAGTTTTTTCAGTCCTTTTGCTCTGCTTGCTGGTTGTTGTATTTGTATTTGTTTGTTTTTTAAGCTGTTTTAATAAATTTAAGTGCATTTCTTTGTTGGTCTCGATGTCAGATTGCGGACAGCTGTGTGAGGGCAGGTGGGGTGTCTATTTATAGTTTTCTAAGTGCAGCATAACATTATCATTTATGTAAAAAAAAAAGAGAAATACAAATATACCAGACGCTACTCGATTTTTATGCAAAGGACTGTCAAGCTAATGTCAAGCGGGTCAGGACTTTCGATAATTTGTAGAGTTTTAACTTGGCGAAGATAGGTCTCACAAATTGTGAATATTTTTACAAGTACTGCAGGGTGTAAATTTCAAAATTTTAACATTTTTTTTACTTTTATCAAATTTGTTTACTTTACTTTATAGTTATTCAAATGGGAATGTATATAATACACTAAAAAATATTTTTGCAGGGTCAAGATCAGAATGAGGTAAATGAAATCAGGTTAACCTCTCTTGAACTCGTATATTTTCGGTTACTTGAACTTATCCTATGCTTAAATACCGTACCTTTTATTTTGCTTAACAGGTAAGCAGCTCGAATGCCACCCAGGTGCTGTTGCGCAACGTGGGATTCGGTCTTTCTGGAAACTTTTCATGCGAAGTGACCGCCGATGCCCCGCTCTTCTCGACCGCCACCGCAGTGGACACCATGCAAGTTGTTGGTAAGTCTGACTCTAAGCTGATTCAAGCAAATTGGCCTAAAGTGCGCTTAAAAGCTTTCAAAGAAGCGCAGAGCGAGCGAGTGTATCGGTCATATCGGGCAGCCTTTGACATTAGTCGCCTTTGATCGCCGAGCAGCGTTCCGCGGCTGAGTTCTGAGTCCTGTGGCTGCTCCTCGGCGAAGAGGGAAAGTTTCTCGCTTCCTTGGCAATTTGCTTTTGGCCGGGTCCAAGGTCGCAGCAGCTGTTTCTGCTGGTTGGAAAAGTTTTGCGCTGAAAATTGCGTCATTAACAGGCCATTTCGTCTTTGCCAGATAAGCGGGTTTGCCGGCAATGAGGCGGTGGTGCGATGGTTCGGTGGTTTGGTGGTTCGGTGGACTCCTGCTCCTGTCTGGGGTCATTTGGTAGTCTTACCTGTGCCCCACGCATTTCACGGCTTTATGCGCTTTAAATGAGCGTAGAGCGGCGCGCTTTGAATTACGAATTTAATCAGCGCGGCAGGGTCATGAAATCCAATGAGCGCTAGTCCGTTTCGGCTTAACAATTATTTGCCTCTTGCGCAGCCAGCAGTTGCTGAAATTGGTACACTAGGAATTTAAATGTGCTATAAAAATGTCTCTAAGAATTCTTAAATTAGTATAAACAAGAAAGGAAAGCTAACTTCGGGCGGAGCCGAAGTTGATATACCCTTGCAGAATACTCTGTAAATTATATTCTCCAAAATTATTCATATGATGCATTCTTAATACTCATAAAAAATCCCAACTTCCTAACTTTAAAAACACCAAAGTTATGGCATTTCCAATCGTTCAGTTATATGGCAGATATAGGATATAGTCGGTCGATCCTTTGAAATATGGTAGGTCGGATTGATTGGCCAAATATAAAATCCATAGAAAATCCCAACTTCCTAACTTTACAATCACCAAAGCTCTGGCATTTCCGATCAATCAGTTATATGGCAGCTATAGGATTTAGTCGGCCGATCCTTATGAAATTTGGTAGGTCGGATTGATTGGCCAAATTTAAAACCCAAAGAAAATTCCAACTTCCTAACTTTACAAACACCAAAGTTATGGCATTTCCGATCAATCAGTTATATGGCGACTATAGGATATAGTCGGCCGATCCCGGCCGTTCCGACTTATATACTGCGTGCAAAGGAAAGAAGGGTGTGTGCAAAGTTTCAATTCGATAGCTTTAAAACTGAGAGACTAGTTTGCGTAGAAACAGACAGACGGACAGACGGACAGACGGACATGGCTATATCAACTCAGGAGGTGATCCTGATCAAGAATATATATACTTTATAGGGTCGGAGATGTCTCCTTCACTGCGTAGCACACTTTTGACCAAAATTATAATACCCTCTGCAAGGGTATAAAAATGTGTTTTTTTTGTTTTATGTTTTTAGAAAATTTTTATAGTTTTGAAATCACAAGTACTTATTTGTTTGTTTTTAAATCCAGCGTTTAGTCGCAAAAGATTTTTATAATTTAATTATTCAATAGTTTTGCATCACAGTTTTCAAATATTTATGTGAAAATTTACTCTTAGCATAAACAATACAACTATGGATTTAAAAAGTGTTTGCCTTGCAATTTGCTTAATTTTTTTATATTAAATGGAGTAGGTCTTAAAAATTTTAATCTTTTAAATGGAGAGCAAGATACCTTTTGAAGTTTTGTTATATTAAAGCCCTATTTTGTCCTGAGTGCATGGTATTAAAAGCACAACAATGGGGCAACCACTTGTCCGTGCTTTTTGTGGGTGTGTGCAGCCATATGGGGCGTATGCGTAATGCGACCTGAATCGATGGCCCAGCTCTAGAGCTCGTCAGAGTTAATCTTTCTATCCGCTTGGCCTCAAGCATTCGAGAAATGCGCTCCGACAGCTAAATTGCGCTTTAGTCGCTGATTTTTATGCCACTTGCTGGGCAGGATTCATCCCGCGTTGTCCTGAACCCCTTCGAGAGTCCTTCGAGCCGAGGGAAAGCCCGCTGTGTGTGCGTGTGTTTGATTGAGAGCTCGTCTGGGTTAATGGCTCACTGGCTGCTTGTTGCCCAGCATTAAGCATTCAGATGTCTGCCGTTCTGGCCTGGCCTTTATTAGATTGCCATTGGCTTCGCCGTTTGCCGCTTTTGCCTTTGCCTTTGCCCCCCGCCAGCTGTCTGCCTTATATTTAACGCCGCATTTAGCCCATTTAATTGGCCGCTTTTGCGTAACTAGCATCTGGGGATTAAAGCCTTTGATCGTGTATTTGTGTATTTGCTTTAAATTCATGAGGCCGCCCTCAAGGACGCCTCGCAACTGATTAAAGTTTCATTACAAGCTGCGGCATTTAATTGGTTGCTCTCCGGCCCTCGGTCCCTGGGACCCACATACATCAATGCTGGATAAGCCAGTTGGGAACTGACACACTGACAGGCCCCGGCAACATTCCCAGCCTCAAATCTCGGGCTTTGGCGGTTATGCCCTGGCTCTGTATCTATATCTTGCGGGCTGTAAGTTCGTTTGACTGTGTTTTCGGCTGTAGGCTTCTGCGGCTTTGGCCTAATGTCGTCGACACTAAAACCCCAATAACTTGCTGGCTAAACAATAAATTACTGTAGCCAACAGCAGGCAGAAACAGCCACGGACACCATATTGTTTGTACACAGAGAAAAAACCTCACAACCCCAAAAGCTGGCCATGAGATGTTATTACCTAGTACATTTCGTTTAACAACTAAGTTTAAGTCATGGAAAATACAAGAAAGACTTATTGCGATTTAATCTTCCCTAAAAGCACATATTTGCATTAATTTTTTTTGTGTTTATTAAAACAAAAATTTAAGTGTAAGGATAGTCGCTGTTTTTTTCTGTGCTATGTCAAGGTTTCGTTGGGTAAATCAGATTTTCTTGGCTTTAATGACTGCCTTGCTCATCTCATCTGCGTAAACTTGCGCTTTAATTTCATCGATTCAGCGCATAGTTTTCCCGATGGCCGCCTGATGTTTTATGCAACGAGTCAGAGTCAGTCAGTCGCTTTCATCCAGGTTTAGTTCTGCGCACTCATTCGCTTATGCAGCCGCGTCGTGCTCGGTGTAAATAACTCTGAGGTTTAATCGTGTGTTAATGAGCTCAAGTGGCAATCAGATTGCGGCCCAAGGATCCTGCGAGGAGCCCGCTGAAAGGAGGTTGAACGCAGGCCTGCGTCTCGGCGTCGGCGTGGCACATAAAATAAACACTTTGTCCTTGCGGGGCGGGCCATTCATGGCGTTCAGCCGGCTTCAAGGACATCGGGGGGGAGGCGGGCGCTAAGTGGGTGGCTGGGCCCAAAAGTTATGCTAATTCGGGCTTTCATTAAGTCACATCTCCGCCCCCATCCTTTTCGGCTGGCACGAGTCAAAAGTTTATAGTTGGCAAACATTTGGGCAGACTTAAGTTTAATAACTTAATGACACGAGTCGAGGCCGAAACCAAGTGCAAAGTAGGCTGGTCAGCTGCTAAATTAAGCTCAAAAGGCCCCAAATCACACTGTTCGAGATTTATGCCAAACAAAATATATTTTTTAAAACATTTTATAGTTGTGTTCTTTAGGTGTAATAAACTTGATCTACCTTGTGCTTTGTGTTTCTAAAGTTGTTTTAGTAAACAAAGTACTTTCTTTGGAATTTCCGTAAATTTAATTAACTACCATCAAATCAAAAATAGATTAATTTTCAAAATTTTACAATTTGCAAAAAAAGTGGTACATGTTTTTTATTAAAGAAAGTGAATTCTATGAATTTTTTTCAAAAATCTGATTACTTCCGGTCAGTGTACTTTCTCAGACTGACCCTTATTAGGGAAAATTTGACGATGGAGTCTCAAAGGCAAAGCCAAAGCAAAGACCCGGCCAAGAGGCAGTCGATGCTGGCCCGCAAAAAGGTCAAAATCTGCAAGGCAAAAAGCGCAGGCCAAAACGTCCAGAAGGACGGGGAATTAGAAAGCGAGCCACACAGAGTCCCAGAAAGTTGCCTCGAGGCGGTATAAAAGAGCAAAGTTGCTGCCGCCTTTGTCATGGAAATTACTTTCTTCATTAGTTACTTTGTTGCTCTCTGGGTCTTGTGGTAGTAGTTGCCTGGCTGTTCCCGTCCAAGCTCCGTCTTGGTTGACTTAATTAAAAAGTTAAGCATGGCGAGAGCCAGGATCTTCGTTTTGCGGTTGTGATTGAAGGGTTCTCCGCCTTCAGTTATCCGTCTATTAATGTGTTTTGTGTCAGTAGGTCCGGGCTAATTGAATTGTCCCGCGCTAAGCTTTTTCCCATTTTCCAAAAGAAGTTAAATTCAAACGGTCATCTGCATTCGCTGGAAAATGCCATTTATTGTAGCCTATAACATATTTAATTAAATTAACTTTAAAAAAATTTCCGCAACCAAAACTTTATTTTTATTATTTCATTTTCGATTCACAAATTTAAACTAACAAAATGAACCGATTGCATAAAAATATAACTTGGCAAAATCATTTTTCAAGTAGAAACAACATTCGTTTATAAAAAAATAAATAAAATCGAAATTGATTAATCCTTTCGGTGATATTTTCCCTATTTTTCAGAGCTGCCCGAGAAGCGTCCGCAGCTTTTCACGGAAAACACACGCTATGAGCCCGGCGATGTCCTGCGGGCCAATTGCAGCACTCCCCCGTCGCGTCCGCGGGCGGAACTTACATTTACCATCAACAACATGGTGGTGAGTACTTTCAACTCCGCTCCGCAATCACTCCAATGAAATATTACCGACCTGGCCGGTCGGTCTGCTTCAATTTATTTCATGTTTCTGGGAAGAGTGGAAAACAAATCTGACAGCGGGTCAGCGGCTATTTTGTGTTCAAAGCCGGGGCGAATCCTTTGAAGTGCTTGTCTATTCTGCTGAGAAATGAACATGAAAATGGGCTAGGACAAGACTTTAATCAAAAGGGTTCTGCTCCGTTTTCTTTTTTGGTTTTTCCAGCCTTTGCCTGGGGGGCTCGTCCATCCGTCAACATGGCGTATGCGCAATTTCACAGCCTGCCAGAGAGCGTGAGGATTGTCATGTGTATTAACAATGCATGTGAGGACGCAGAAACTGGCAGAGTGTGAGAAAAGCGGCCGCATCTGTGGCCCGAATGCCCGTTTTGTCATTTAGTTACTGTGAAATACAGATTTCTATGCGGCCGCAAACACAATCCCAGATCTTTTGTCGAGTGCCAGTGCTGTCGAAACAAATTACAACAAATTACAAGCTTTTAATTGTTAGAATGAGTGTTGAATGCAAAAAACATTTTGGTAATAAAAAAGGTATATTCAAAATCGGAATATGTTTTGAGATAGTCTAAAATATCTAGTGTGAAAATTTTAACTTATTTTTAAATTATGTTAAATTTTGGAAGTTTTTAGAACTTTGAAATCAAAAAATTTTCAAATATTTAATTCAACGTAGAATTTAGCTAAACGTAATAAAATTTAAAATAAAAATTTATATATTCCTTTTTTTTTTGCTGAATATTAGGTTATTAAAAGTTATACAAAAATATTTTCTTTAAATAAATAAGTAATTCTCTAAATTTTTGAGTAGATATTATCAGAATTTTGGAGCATTGTCTGATTACTTTTTAGGAGAACAAAGATTTATAGCTAATATGCCAACGCTGGGTCTCGATCCTCAGCAGTCACAGTTGTGTGCAGGCTCCTTCCAAAACTCTCATGGTTGTTATTCCGTGGGGATTTTCACTTTTGGTTGCTGTCGCATTGCCATTGTTGTTCTGTGAGCTCTTCCCTTGCAATTTTATGAATATGCATGCCACATGCTCGCTCCACTTCATTTTCCTGCTTATAATTTCGACCCAGGCCCCGATGTCAAGAGCAGTTCAGGTTCAGAATCGGTCAAGGCAAGGCTCCTGTTTTTCGCTCTATTTGCGGTTGAAAAGGGTTGTGTCTGAGCCAGAGGCACTTGAAACTAAGGAGTCTGTGGATCCTGCATCCACGTGCTTAACAGGTTGTCCACGTTTTTTTTTTATTTTGTCATTCAACAGCAAGTGCAACTGCATTAAGCTCCCCTTTGATTTTCGACCTGCTTGCTATGCCAAAGATGAGTCCTGCAGAGCGGTTGGGAAAATTGTTTATGGTACGGGCGTAGTTTAGGTTGAATGCATAATTTTCTATCACAAAAGCTTCCAATTGGTTTGCGGTTGGGAAAATATTATGCGGGATGAAAAACCAACCAAGCCAGTGCGTGTGCGGACTGCTGAGAATTTTAGCTCATACTGTTATCACTGAATAAAGGTCTGAGCCAGGCACTGGAATAAAACCAAATGTATGTAGGAAATATAAGAAAAAATTTGATAACAATCAAGAGTTTAAATGCGAAAATTGCTGCTATTTATATGCTTATTTAATTGATTGAACTCCAGTGCCCAATATATTTTTACTTATAAGTATTAGACTAGGCTGCAACTTCGATAAAGAGATATATCATCGCATTTCTGGTTGCTGATTTTATTAGCACAAATCCCCTTTAAGGAAATGCTCTCTATTAGTCTTCAAAAGGCAGCAGTGTTGTCAATGCCGTTGAAAAATGGTTGCCACACTCCAGAAGCGCACTTGGCAAGCTCGCATTAAACATGATAAATGAATTCAAATCATTTGCACCGCAATAACTCGCAGCCGGAACGAGGGGGAAATTTCTGGCGAATATTCAAACGGGTTGTGTTGCCTGAAAATGAAATGATAGCTTATCGGCAATGCCTCTCCAAATGCCAATGATGCTGTGCGGTGCGGCTGTTGCGGGTTCAAGGGGCGCTCCACAGGATGTTGAAGGGAATGGAAGGGGCGAGAGGAGCTGCAAGGATATTGAGAACTTTTGGCAACGCCAACCAATCGCAGAGAGACAACAAACAGTAAGCAAACGTGGCAGACATTGACTAAAATTGAGTAGAAAACGATACCGCAATAGGAAGATATATTACAATTGCCGATCACAGGAAACAAATGAATATTTCATGCTGTGCAAATCAACATGACCATGGGGTGTGGGCGGAAAACACACTCACGCACACACTCAAGCACTTCCTACATTTCCTGCAAAGTTTACGTTAAAAGGTGCGCCGGCAAGGAGCCACAACTTTCTGTTGACAAAAGTTTTTGCGGTGAAATGCCACAGGAGTAATTTGCAAGAGGTCCGGACCCAAAACTGCCTCTCCACCATCGCTTGAAAAATCATTCCAACAAACGAACAGCAGCGGTCAGCATTATAATGAAGAAAACAGTTTCTTAAATAGAGAAAACACAAATTTTTGTGTATTTCTGAGTGAAAACAATACAAATTTTACAACAAAATTAAATTTCTGCCAGTCGTTGCCGTTGGCGACTGCAAAAAGCTGAAGAAAATTATTCTATTTTAAAAATTTGTTCGACCAATAGAAAATAATAAATACATAAAATACATTTTCCAAAAGAACAATTTAAGGGGGGATTTTAAAAGGTTTTAAAAATATTCAGCAATGCTAGCCTTGTTGTAGCATAGAAATGTGATGAAATATTCCTAAAATAAAAATATATAAATAATTGCCTTTAGAAAAGTGGAATTACAAAAAATGACAAGACTGTCATCTACTTTTATTCTCCGTTAAATTATGCAGATGTAGCTACTATTTTGGCCCCACCTGTATCTTTACATCCACACCGAGCCCGGTGACATATGTGCCTTCGGTTTAAGACTGCCGCTCCGGCTCCATTTCGGGCTCCTGGCGTTTCCGCCCTGGGGCCCAGGCATTAATCATTCGGCATGTAAATTGCCAATTAATAACTGCTGCATGTCATTTGGCGTCGGCTTAAAAATGCCACGCAGAATTTGCCATCATCAGGGTTGAACGAACGGATGGAAGAACGTCGGAATCTTGCAGGGGCGCTTGCCAAACTTCTAGGCGCATTCGCATTAATGAAGACAAATAGCATTTGAGCCCTGCCAAATTTAGCGGAAAATTGAAAAAAGCTTCGCATCCAGCAGTTGGCAGCTCCTTTATGCCATAGTTTTTGCTGTTTTTTTATATACCATACCTCCTAGCATTCTTGGCAGCCAGTAAACCAGCTACCAGTTACCAGTAGCAGTAACCATTCGCAGAGATATTGCAGTGCTATCCACAATTTATTTGTTATTGATACGCCGGCAATGCATTGGACACACAAACGCGTGCATAAAGAGCTGGGGGACAAATTGTGCACTATATTGGATGAAATATAAAATATATTTATTGTATTTTTGCATCGTCTGGGAGGGCGGTGCCATCCTGGTTTCGGTTGAACGAACGCATGAAAATTTATGCCTGCAGACAAAGTGTCACTTGGGAATGAAATTGGTAAAAACCCAAAATTTCAGAAATTATTCACTCCTGTTATAAGATAAATTGAAATATTTAAACAACGAATCGATTTCTTGTTAAATTTTCGTAGTGTAGAATTACTAAAAAAATTTTCACAAGTTGCATTTAATAACTTACAAATAGGTATACATTTTATCAAATTTTCAAATATTTCCAGAAAATAAATTTGAAAAAAGTTTTTATCATTCTGAAGCATTTCTTTTTCTAAATTTATGCGCAATCGTTTTTGTTTTTATACCCTTTTAAGAGTAACATAATTTCAGTCAAAATTTTCAACACATTGAAGGAAACTGTTCCGACCCTGCACTGTATCTATATATAATATATTCCTGACAAAACTCAAGCTGGTTTAAAAGATACATATCTCTTAAGACTCGTGGTTTGATTTTCTAAAAATCTGCATTCAGATTTGTTAATTTGACGCTGATCAGTTTTTTGACCCGATTTCAAAGTGATATACCCCTACAGAATTGTGATTTGATTCTGCAAAAAACTGCATTAAAATTTTTCGTTTTGGCGTTGATCAAATTTTTGACCCATTTTCATGTCAGTTATTTACAAGTTTCCGATGTGTTAAAAAGAGGTTACCACATTTGGACTTCTAGAGTCCATAACTTCGCCAAATTTTAACCGATTTCAAAGTGACATACCTCTATAGAATTGTGATTTGATTTTGCAAAAAACTGCATTTAAATTTTTCGTTTCGGCGTTGATCAAATTTTTGACCCATTTTCATGTCAGTTATTTACAAGTTTCCGATGTGTTAAAAAGAGGTTACCACATTTGGACTTCTAGAGTCCATAACTTCACCAAATTTAAACCGATTTCAAATTGTCATACCTCTAAAGAATTGTGATTTGAATCTGCAAAAATCTGCATTTAAATTTTTCCTTTTGGCGTTGATCAAATTTTTGACCCAATTTCATGTCAGTTTCCTATTACTTGTAAAAAGGTCACGCATAATTGGACTTGAAGAGACCATAACTTTTCCAAATGTAGGCATATTTTTAAGTGGCGTACCTTTTGTGATTTAATTCTCTAAAAATCTGCAGAACAAATACCCATATTATCTTAGATGTATTTATTTGTAAGGAATAGAAGCATGGGCTTGGCGAAATTTGCTTCTTCTCTTTTTTACGTAAGCCTTAAAAACTGATTTCAGAGCTAAAAACTTTTAGTTGGAAAAACTACATAATCCACACCTGTGTCTAATGGTTTAGAAACAAAAAAAGAATTCCAAAGCACTAAAAGCTCCATAAATAAGCCAGAAAAACAGGCAAATTGTACAATTGTCTTTATAGTTCAGCAATAAATAAAATATTTCAAAAAGAAGATGGCTTTAAAACGAAACCAAAGCGATCTAATATGGGTCACTTCTTTTTTGGGTGGTAAGTTAAAAACTATGAGCTTCTAGCAGAGGTTTACGTACGCAAAAATATCCCCAAAGGTGCTCATATTTCAGCAATAAATAAAATAAAGCAAAAAGAGGATTACTTGGATGTGTTTCACAACGAAAGCAGGCGATCCGGAGTGTCTCATAAAGTAGTTTTATTTCGGGCTTATCGCGGGCCCACACTCCATTAGTTTTGACATTTTCAAAACTGCTACTAAGCTGCAAAACGAAATGCAACCATGGCCGAAATTCACACATAAGTTTCGGCCCTGAATTCTTCAGAGACAACTATTAAAAATATATAATTTGAATTTTTGTAGAGAGATCCGAGCAGAAAAAAAATATAGAAAACTGGCAAGAAAAATACGGAAATGGAAGGAGAACTTGTGCTGCGTATGGGGAAAAATTATTTATCAAAGCGCAAATCCTTTCGCATACACAGAGGAAAGAGACTTGGCGATGGCGAGTGGCAGATTCTCCTATGGCAACAATTTTACAGTGAATTGCACTAAATAACTGCCATTAAGCATAAAAGCTGTTCTCGCATGAAGGAGCTGCTGGCAGCATTTAAGCCAAATGCAAGTTTAAGCATCTTAGAGCTGGCGCAAATAAAGTGGACTTACGCAGCAAGGACATGGACAAGGCCTGGGATACAGAAACAGATACGGATACGGATGATGCGGATGCAGACCAATACGGGTGCAGGCCAAATGAAAGCCAGAAATGACGCATAAGAAATACAGTTCCAAACGGCAGAAGCAAAGGCTCAGAAATGCTGGGAAAGCCTGAATACAACCGGCTGAAACTTTCGTCAAATGCGTCGTAGTTTTAACCCTCTTCGTTTTTTAGCCAGGCGGTGCTGGCCATGTTCAATGTCCCAAGTTCCATGTCCAAAGTCCTTGCAGCCACTAATATGTGCGATTGTGTGGTGCTTCCGGATTTTTTTCATGATTCTGACTTTGAAAGCGCTTAGGGTATATTGTTTTTAAACCTATTGAGTAAATGTTTGGATCAATATAATCCCCTGACTTATGTCCGAGAATGGACTTAGAAAGGCAAGCCTTTGTAAATGCGTAACAATTCTGTATTAATCTTTTAAAACCTTAACAGTAAATACAGACATGTTATCAACTAATCGAAAATGAAATTTGGAACTTGCTAAATTAAATAAAATAATTAAATCAATAAGTGAATTTTAAAATATGGCTTTAAACATTAACATATTCTAACGTATCAGCATTTAAAAAAAAACCTAACATTCGTTTCATAGAACTTAAAACTACTTTTGTTTTTATTTAAGTTTTGTTTTTTGAAGGGCAAATTTCCGGCGAGTTTAGTTTCTAACTCATTTTTTCAATCCTTTGTGTGTTTGTTTTTTGCTCAGACGCCGCTGCTTTTTGCTGCATTGCATTAACACAGATAAAGTTCCTTGATACATAATTTCCATGCATACAGAAGTGTCTCCCAGCACATGTGGCAAATCCCCGACTGCCCTGATACTCCGCCCCCTAAAAATACCCAACCCCCCCGCCGCCACTGCTCTTTAGCAAACTGTGCCAACTTGCAAATGGCGACAAGATGCTGGCTGGCAAAAGTTTTTTCCTTCTGCTCGGTCCGTCCAAACGGCCAAAAGGAGAAGTACAAACAAAAGTATTACGAGCGTGAGGGCTAAACGTTGCCAAATGCTGGAGCCTCTCCCCGCCACAAGCCCCTCGAGCGCCTTAAAATATGCAAATGCATTTGCGAGCGTAAAATAAACAGGCGCAGTCTAAAATTATAATCCCCTGTTCGCTTCCCTAAGCACTACAAAAAAAAACCCACTTTAAATCAAGATAGGGTTTTTAAGCTCTAAAGAATTTGTTCTCTCTGCATGATCACTATATTTATTATATCATCGTTAGGCGGACTAGAAAAAAAAAGATTTTCAATAACTTTTTTCTTCTGCTTAAAAACTAGTTTGCCTTTTCAATGTTTCAGTGTAAGACATTAAAGTTCCTTTCCCATGCCGTTTTGAATAAATTAAACTAATATGTTATATATTCTTTTGTTTTCTTTTTCAAGCATATAATATTAAAATGTTTTATTTAACATATCAAATATAAAATATAGAAGAATGAAAATATGAATATTAAAGTTTCAATAAATTTTGTCAGTAAACCAATCAAAAATGTAACTCATGTTTTTCATTAGTCAATGAAATCTCAATTAAGGACGTCTAGCAATATTTAAACAAACTTGTTCCACATTCCAACAAGGAATAAAATATTTTAAAATAACTTTTTACATCTGTTCTTGTAGATAACCAACGTGGAGACCCAGTACATTCGCACCATTGATAATCTGATTGCCTCACGGATCGCGCTGAAACTGCAGCTGCAGGGCGTTCACTTTTCCAGCGTGAATCCGGCCATCTACAATAGCGTTTACGGCCTGAACTCGGTGTACGGCCATGGCGGTCCGGTTTATGCACCGAATCCGAATCCGGGAGGATTACTATTGCGCTGCTCGGCGCAAATCGGGGATCTGTACCAGGAGGTCAAGGAAATCGAGCTGGGAACACCGCAAAAGGATCCGGTACCGGCACGTGGTAAGTTTCCGATGGCCACCAGTCTATTACGAACGAACCAACTGACTTCCGTTTTCCGGTTTTTCTCCGGCTCTTCCGGTTTTCCGCTTGCAGTTACACTCTCATCCGACTCGAGCTTGAAGAACTTTTTCAGCTCGTATTTCTCGACCTCGGCATCGGCGGCATCGCGACTCCTGCCCGGCGTCTATATGGCGCCGTTCATAATGGCCATGCTGGCTGGATTATTCCGGCTAATTGAGGTTGTATTTGAGACCTGCGATGCCAGCCGGCGGCCAGCAGCCAGACATTTGATGACACATTCCAAGAAGCGAAGGAGCTCGGAGCAGGGTCCAGCTCTTCTGTCCAGCTGCAGCGCCTCCAAGGCGTCCAGACAGCAACTGGCCTGGCCAGAATCAATGACGGATGATCTGGCCTAGGCGTGTGTTACCAATTAGTTAAAGCCCTAAGTAATTCAAGATATATGGTGGGAACTTACTAGGCCTGCGAAATTAATAAGTATTTAGGTGATCAATATTTATATTGTATGGAACACGAACACAAGGCTTGATACGAAGTTTATCACGCAACATTTGAACATACTAAAAGTCATTCTAATAGTAATAAACAGTTTTTGATGCCAGCTAAAGTTCTCAAATACAAATTTATTACCCATCAGTTCAACATTTATTATTTAAACAGGTCTAGTAAATACCCTAACTTTGTTGATTTCAAGGATCTTCATTTGATGACTGCTTTTCATGTTGATTTTCATTTTACACCATAAAAACGCACTGCGAGATGTGGTGTCTACTAGCGAGCTAAAGAGAAAAAAACAAATTAAATTTAAGCAAACATTTATAAACTAGCCTAGTCGTAAACAAACAAAACAGGAGGTTGGACAGCAGGACAGAAGAGTTTAAAACCTATAAAGCAGGACGTACACAATTCAAATATAAATGTTTACACGAAAGAGAAGCAAAATGAAAATATATTAAGTACATGAAATTACTGATTCTACTTTAAATGTGCAAATTAACAGAAAAATAAATAGAGCAAAAAAACAAAGCAAAGCCAGAAATCAAAGGTGTGTGTTCGAAAAACGAGGAAAATGTGTGTAAAATATATTTAAAGAAACATATTAAATTAATTTAATTTAAAGTAAATAAATCAAAGCCTTGTATGGGCATATTGTAAATGGTGGTGAAATTAAATAAAATGTGTGTTAATTTTAAATATTGTCATGGTATTTTTCTCTTTGCATGACTTATTTTTAAAAGTCATTTTAGATTTGTCATAGAATTTAATAAAATAAGGGAGAAGTTAAGTGTGAGGTAAGTTTATAAAATAATCATTATGTTAGTTGTTGAGCTTTGTCCCATTTTGTTTCAAGTTTGGAAAGGAGTTTTGACCGGTGACGGTGACCCAAGGGATTTTCCGATTCAACAAATTTTCACTGTTGATTTTTGGCGTTAAAATTCTTACTCAACATTTTTACAACAAAGGATGGTTTTTTTTGCAGCTCACCCTTTCTGGTTATTGTCTGCATTTAGTTTGCCTGCCAAAGTGTGAAAAAACTTGCCGTTACGCAGCGGAAGATCTGAAAGAAATATAGAAGAAGGAATCTAGTACAATGCAATGCACACTCCCCTTCCGCTTTTCTCGCACTTTTCCTTCGTTTTTTACCATTTCCGTTCTGCATGCGCATTTTGTATTATATTTTGTGCTTCCTAGTTTTCCCCAACGCTTTTCCGAAATTATTGAAGCGCGCTTTGTTATTTCTTTTCAATTGCGGCCGAGAGAAGTCGTTTCTATTCTTTTTTCCAAGGGGTTCGTTCTCCTCTGTCTGTTATCACAAATAATTGTACTTATGTACATATACATAAGGATTCTCTTTCCTGTTTTCCCTCTCACATACAGCATATAAAGTTGCATAGCGAAGGAAACATTTGAATTGTGCGTGATTTGGCACAGAAAATTATTTAAGCAAATAAAAACGAGTGAATATAAAAATACATTCAAATTCCCATTCGTTTGGCCAGCGTCTGGAAACTTTTGTGTTGTGTATTTAAATTAAATTGCAAGCAAACAAGCACCAAAATAATGGAAACCACTCTGAAAATGATGGCAACAGAGTGTATATAAATTTAAACTACAGTTATGCGGCTCTGTGTTGGCTGCAAATTCTGAAGGTCCTTGACGTCGACAAGGATCACAAACAAAGCAACCAGCAATCTCCTTTTACTAATCCAATTGAACTTCTACAAAGAAATAATTTTTAAGAGAGCATATCGTGGAATTACACTTATATAGTTGGTATTAACTATGCAAGGGGAAGCCTTCGAAAATAAAATAAATTATATAAGCAAGGTATTTATTCGTCTAACTATGCAATCCCAAGAATGTTGTTGGGGCTTAACCAATTTCTAAGTTACGCAATCCGTTGAAATACATCCATCAATTAGCAGGCATACAACAAGGCACTTCAATTATTCGATCGAAATTTACCATGCATGTTTCGGCGCTCGAACATCCGCTCTGGTTGCAAATGGGGCCTTGCAGGGTTGAATTAGATACTTTATTTCATTGGCTGGACAAGGCCTAGTAGTTTTGATACCAAAACAATGCAAAACAGTGCGAAACAGTGCGAAACAGAAGCTGGATTGCAGCGAAATGATGCAGTGCCTGCTAATTGAAGTCAACTAATTTGCATTGCAGATGGCAGGAACATGGAAAAGGCATGCACATGTCCTGTGCTCGGTGTTCCCGGATCGGAACTGGACACTGGACCGCGGCTTATTTACGTGCCATTAGACGGCAGTGAGTACGTGTCCTGAAAAAGGTCCTGCGAAAATCAGCAAACGCCGGGGGAAGCGTGAACTAAATTAAGTTTGACAGACCGCAGAGCACAATTAAAATCAATTAGCTACGCGCATCGAATTACAAATTGATTTATTTATGACGTTTCCATCCCCGCCACAATCGCCGGTGGTTAGTGGTTATCCTGAATCGTGAATCCTGATTCCTGATTGCCATATACGTATGGCGGGAGGTGGTGGCGAGGTCTCTGTTTGCCTTTCTCACGATATCCAACGATATCCTTCTGACCTGCGTGTCGCAGGATGTCAAGTGTGCATTTCAAATGGCCAACTAACACTGTTGTCGCGTCATCGCTTCCCCTTCAGCGGAATCCCAATCCCAGTCCCCATTTCAGACTGCAGCAAAAAGCAGACATCGTGCTGGCCAGCAGCGTAAATTGATTCCATTGGTTCCCGCTCAAATTTATAGATAGCCAGTGCCCGGGGGACTGGCACTTGACTTTCGCTTCAACATCATCGAGCTGAGCTTAGAGAGCAGAGCAGTGCAGGATGCAGGGTGCACCGTGGGAAAATCTCATCAGAATTTTCTTGTCTCACTTAACTAAAACGCAATTTAAAGTTGTGTATACCGCTTAATGACTGTAAATATCTTTTAAAAGGATACAGGTAGGTTGTAGGTAGCAAAACTAAAAATATACAAATTAGCAATTAACAAATAAGCAAATAGGAATTGAGTATTGAATTTACTAGAGTTAAATTCAAGCATTACATTAATTTTGACTTGTTCATTGAACATTATTTCGGTGTAAGAGAAATAAACGCAGGTACAGCAACGCTGATTTCCCTATTCAGTAGTCGGTGCATAGTTATTAAACGTGATTGAAGGACTCCCGTGGGGTTTTCTCTCAAACCCCTTTGTACGTGATACGCACAAGGCGGATGCCCGATATTTATCGCCGTTTAATGGTAATATTTGTGCTGACGAGAAGCGTTCCATGTGCATGGAGCGTGATTAACGAAAATGTGCATTAAGTGTGCATGAACGCTCTGATTAATAGAGCAAGGACTCGACTCGGACCGCATTAAAGCTGCCGCCGAGCAAATTTGCAATCACTTAAAGCAAAACGCAAATGAGGCAGCACGAGTGCACAATAAATACGAGTAATGACAATGCAGCGGAGATAAGCGATGTGGTGCAGTCCCTTTGGCCAGGACACAGCCCCCCTTTTTTTATTGGGTTCCCTGGGGGAGATTTGACACGCCTCGAACTCATTTAAATTGACAGAGAAACTACTTGGCCTGTTGACCTGCCCTTTATCACAAATATTTTCATTGCAGAATGGGCGCAGGCAAATAAATAATTGCGAGGCTGAGCTCCCACATCTGTCTCCTCCAGCGGCAGATGTGACACTTTTCACATAACTGCAAATGGGCAAAATGCGGGACCTCAATGCCAGATGGACATTTTCATTTCGAATTGTTTGCACCAAGGGCCGCACATCGGAGCCCGGCAACTGGACAATTTACAATGGACAGGGGACATAAAGACTTATTAAGAAAAGTGTTGCAGCCTCATGAATAAGCAGTGCAATGAGATGTGATGCCTTCGAACGAACTGAAAGCCAGTTGTCAGTTGGCGACTCCTTGAGTGCCGGTCACAATGGGCCGAAAAGGAAGCCGTGCATAATAAGTATTATATATACGTAAGGAAGGGAAGGATCGGACGGAAGTGCAGCAGCTGGCAAAATGGAGATGGCGTCAATCTCTCAAGAATCTCGACACTGAGCACTTATCGATCCATATGCTCATGAGCACACTCCAAGAAGTGGAATCTCAAATGAATTCAAATGGAAAATAAAAATGGCATGTGTCCTTATAATTATAATTTATTAAAATATTTAAGTACCTGTTTTTATACCATGATTTTACTGCAGGGTATTCAAGACCCTTTACATTTCTTGGCATGCCAAGGTAAGCCTTTCGAACTCACCCTAACTTACTTTCGCACTCAAGCCTCGGAAAAAAGGGTTTATTAAATTAACAATTAAAATTTTAGATTTTCGGGGCGAGCTGAAAACTTTTGCCGAACCTGCCTCGTTTAAGCAAAGTGTCGCCTTATTGAATTTGCAGTGGACAACTTTTGTCATCGCCGGACAAGTGCTCCAAATGAGTGTGGAAAAGTTTGACCAGCGTCCAGGACTTCGCAGCTCGCCTGGTCAATGATCTCCGAGCACCGGGGACACACACGACCCAGGATTGGACTCCGAGTAGGACTTGCCATTATATATGTACATATATCGGGGCGGGAGATACTTGGACACGCGCACGCCTTCTTGTAATAAACTTCAAAAAATAATTTCGGCAACGTCTACGACAACTGAAACTTGACACTTTGCAAAGAAAGTTTCTGTGGCCTGAGTGTTGTGAGGGAAATGGAAAAGAGGGCGGTGAAAGTTGGAGGGGAAAGTGGGGAAACCCCGGGTGTATGGCCTGGCCAGTGACAGCTTAATTTAATTTGCCCACAAATTTCCAAACTTGTGAGTTATCGAAATTTCCACATAGTTGTAATGAATTATGCAGCAGCATCTAGCCGAGGATAACTGTTGCAAAGTTTCCATATAATTTAATTTGCCGGCATAGAAATCCGGAATTCGACTGCTTAAAAATCCAATTACTGGTGACAGTGGTCTCGCATGCCAATGCCAATCATCATAAAGCAGTTCTGGGCCCATTCTCAAGTCCCCATGCCCATCAAATCAGATCGAATTAAGCCGTGGAGAGACAGATACGAACTCGGGGGAGTTCGAAATCGAGTTCCAGTACAAGTTCGCACGATTCGCCCAGACAACAAGAAAACTTTTAATCCATATTAAATGAACTTTTCTGCACAATTTTCATCAAATTTATTTTGTATTTATTTACACTTTTGTTTGGTTTTTCATTCGCCGCCTCGCACACACTGCAAGAACAACAAGGACGAAACTTTTGTCATAAAATTTGTTTTTATGTGCCCTGCATGGGGGTGGACTTCTTTATATGCCAACTAAACCAGAGCCGGCAAATGCCTCACGTTCTTCATTATTTCCATCGAATAGCTCCGAAATTGTTTGGCTTTTTATTAGTTTTCGCTACAGTTTGCTAGAATTAAGGGATTGTTTTTCCATTTGCCGAAATGCTCAAAATTTAATAACTAGTTTCACTTTGACTATCCACTTGCTTTGTCAACTATTTGCACAGTAATTTAATTTTAATGATTTCTGTGCTTGGCCCACAAAACAAACAAATTACGGCAAACAACTTTGGAAACAAACTTTTGGCTTAATTCGGCGAATGCAGGAAAAAGTCAAAATAATCGCGTTCTCGTAAAAATGCAACAAACTAAAGTCGTTGAACTTGTGCGAAATGCCCAACAAGTTG